TTTGTTGAAAATTTTAAGTTAATTTTGAAATGACTCACTGATTAATTGCTTACTGTCCAAAATGGTCAAACCAAATCGAATATGTTCAATTACCACATGTTGTGTAATCGATGTTGTGTAATCGCGGATCAGCAACGAAAACACCTATTGTTATAAATAGCCTGTTTATTTATAAGTAAATGTTTGTATATAAATAGAATAAATCCCATTGGTCCAATTTAAAGGTATACTATAAAAGATTCTATAAACACTCTATTAGCATGGTTAGTAAATAATTGGTAGTAAAATTGACTCCTTTTTCTGAATGCTCGAGAATTATTTAACGATATTATGACGCGGACATTATTTATCTGTTAATGTTTATTCTACTCAACCTACATTATTTTATTTTTTTCGTTATCAGCTATGTTTAATATATATTAAAAAAAAAGGGGGGGGGGGGGGGGGGTCATATGTATAATAATAATAATAATCAATAAACTTTGTTTAGAGTCGGCATAGTATTCAGACAGGGACATATTATAACGGATTGAGCTTAGTAACCGATATCTCAGAAACTGAACTAGTTTTACCAAGATTCAAGATTTCAAGTTTTGATCATGTGCCTGCCCTAATAAGGAACCTAGCCATTGGTAATAAACTGCTATAAACGCCTCAAAAAGTTGAAAAATCTGCAATTTCAACAACACATGTGGACACAAACATGCATGGATAGTATCCAGCTCTCAAGACCAATACTAGTTTGATGAAAAATTTCCTTGATCAATGAGTAGTTAAATTTCAAACTATCAGCAAACAGGAAGTGGATGTACTGAAGATGTGTTGAAACGACATGAAAATCAGCATATCGGAACGAAACATAAACTTGATCTGTAACTCATCATTGTAGACTCACATATCAAAAATCAGCTCAAAATCTGAAGGCGTGTAGAAAAAAAGTCTGTATAACTGTGATTTTCAACCATTTATCAAAGTCCAAAGCCCGTAATTTCGGCAAAATTTAGCAGAGCGGAACGAAACTTAAACTTGAACTGTTACTCATCATGGTTAACTTACATACCAAAAATCAGCCCAATATCTAAAGGCGTTTAGAAAAAAAGTCCGTATAACTGTGATTTTCAACAATTTATCAAAGTCCAAAGCCCGTAATTTCTGCAAAAATAAGCAGAGCGGAACGAAACTTAAACTTAATCTGTAACTCATCATGGTTAACTCACATACAAAACATCAGCCGAATATCTGAAGGCGTTTAGAAAAAAAGTCCGTATAATGCATATGGTTTGTTATGGAATGACGGAATGACGGAATGACAGATTGACGGCGGGGCCATAACAAAAGTAAAATTTAGAATTAGGTGCTAATTATCCCTGCAGTTTTGAGGGGTATGTATTGTCATTTAAACAGGTTAATGTTTGGGATAATGAATTCATTTCAGCGTGAAACAAATATGAATCATGTATAGTATGTTAGTGTTCTGATCAATCATTCCCAATCAGTATAATAGTTGTGTGAAAGGACGAATGAAAGTAGTTATATTGTATGTCTGTCTTTGTTATGATTTATATGCCTGTTTATGGGGGCCCTGTGATTAGGTTGATAAAAGAATTTGCATGAATTTGAATCATTTATTTCAAAAGAAATATAAAAAAACGAAAATAAAAGAAAATTGAAAAAATAATCTGCATGCTTAGACTGTCCGCAGTTATGAAGACTGCGTCACAAAGTTGCAGTATATCTACCTTCTTCGATTAAACCATACGCATTGTTAAGCAAACAAACACTTGCCCCCTCCCTCAAAAACCATAGGATTTGCACTAAGACAAATTTCTTCCAATCTGGCACATTGCAGAATACTACTAGCTCCGTAGCTTCTGTGAATTTATTAATTTTCTTTCTGTATGGCTCTGCACTGCCTAATGAACCAAACATTGGATCAACCGTCTTGTCAATAAATATCCAACTTAGATGATGAAAGCACATTTTAACGCTCAGATTTTGAGTTGGGAGAATATAATATTTAATTCGATTTAAATACATTTAATAACCATTTTGGGTACGTCATCTCAATTCTTTTACATAAACAAAAGTGGCATTTTAAGTTTGCATCATTCTTGTCTGTAAATTAATGTACTCAATTCAACAGTATTTGGTAATTTGTTGGAACAATTAGTTGTAATTACACGAAAACTCCTTTTTGGTTTAAGATTGTAGTATTCCGAGGTATTCCGATTAAATGTGTTGGGAGAAGATGAACTTATGATATAGTATTGAAGATACAATCTTCTTATTTTCTATCTTTATTCAATTTATTCATTGGTAATTTATGAATATGCTATAATGTGATAAGATTTCAGCATCATACTTTACGTCACAATATCAAATTAAACCAAACTGGTAATTTTATGTGATTATTTCATCATCCGATATGATGCGACGGTAACCAAGCAACATATAACTTGACCACCAAATAAAAAAAGATAAATCTTGATCAACGTACGATCTTCAATGACTATAACTCACGTGGTTATCTCTATGTTGTCCAAAGTGAGTCAATAATATCGAAATGATCATATCCTGAACTGAATAAATCACTTTTTTTACGTTTAAAAGTTGAGTTTTTTTATAGCTTAAATGTTTGTATAGATAACACGTGCTCTGAGCTTCGGGCACAGTGTAAGGCTGTTTTCATACATAGTATAGATCAAGCGATATGAAAATGCTTTCGCTATTTGTACTTCACTAAACCATGTATGCTTCTTTTACTACCGGTCTGGTACGAATGTTTGTACAAGTTGTAAAGATACTTGACATATGTGATTCTGTTGTCTGTACAGGTGTATAATAAAATGCTTCGCTGAGCGCAGCTGGATACAACCGCAGAGGTCCAACCCCGAAAAGTTGGGACAAAAATGGACAAAATATTCGCGCTTGATACAGGTCTGAATTTGGATTGTAATTAAATATTTGACACATAATAGGTTGGTACCATAACCCCTAAAATCAATCCCAACCTTCCTTTTGTGGTATTGAACCTTATGGTAAAATTTCTTAGAGATCCATTCACTTAAACTAAAGTTATTGTTCGAAAACCAATGTGTCTTCGGACGACGACGACGACGACGACGACGCCAACGTCATACCAATATACGACCGCAAAAATTTTTTGCAGTCTTATAAAAACTGAGGTTTAGACTACGATGTCCCGAGATACCATATTATATTTTTTTCATTCTGCGCACACTAAAGAATTAAACAAATTCAAGAGGTGTTCGTTTGGCTGTAATTGAGGTAAAGTATTCATGTCCGGTGCGATTGGCTTTTCTATGAATCAGATGAGAATGCCAGGATCTCTACTTTCAATGGAACCCTTACAACTCTTTCGAAGGTGGGTGTAGGAGGCATAAATACGTAGTCAAGTTTGGACTGTTTGCAGACTTTATTCTAGGTAAAAAATAAAAATCTTATTTTAATAAACTGAGCAACAACTAAGCAGCCGAAAGAACGTAATTCATAGCATGTTGTAGAGCTTATAAAGTATAAACTTCGGGATATCGGTTTAGACATATTTACAAGATTGTATAAAATTTAAGATGGGAAATTTTATAACCTTTGTGTAGAAATGACACGAAACAAATTTACTTTGCTCGGTTTCGGCTGGTTCAACTAGCCATTTTTTTCATTTTTTTATTTCGGACTTTAATTCTTAACATATCTTTGGCGTTCAGTACGTTTGTTAATTCTCATTCCTATCAAACTGGTCCCCGAAGAGTTTCAAGAAACTTTCAAAATGAAGAACAACAATATAAGAGTTCCTTGCTTTGGTAAGTGGCTATTTCTGTTACTATAAGGGATATCTCAAGAAACTCAGATTCTTTCCAGTTGCATTTGGTTGGATAGAATTTCCAGTAACAAAGTACATAAATAAGTTCGCTTAGACGAAATAAAGTTAAACAAATAGTTTTTTGCTATGGCGTTGTCAGGGTATTTTCGATACTTTGGTATCTTTAGCCTCTCTCTCTCTTTCTTTTTTCTTTTTTAAAGAAATCTACATTTACATATTAGTAAGTGTCCTTTTTGTTGTTAGGGATGAGGGATTGATAAATACCCCGCCACGTCCAGTCTTTGTTTAAGCTTAATGTTTTTCTGCTTCGTTTCGATCTGATGAGTTAAGCCTTTTTCAACTGATTTTTAAAGTTTGTTCTTATGTTGTGCTGTTACACCACTGTCCCAGGTTAGGGGAGGATTGAGCCCTCACAACCATGCCTAACCCCGCCACATTCTCTATGTGCCTATCCCAAGTCAGGAGCCTGTAGTTCAGTGGTTGTCGTTGGTTCATGTCTGTAATATTTGTTTTTCGTAAATTGTTTTGTTATAAATTAGGCCGTTAGTTTTCTCAATTGAATTGTTTTATATTTTTCATGTCGGGGCTTTTTATAGCCGACTATACGGTATGGGGTTTTCTCATTGTTGAAGGCCGTACTGTTGCCTATAATTGCTTACATTCACATTTTTAACTATGGTGGATAGTAGTCTCATTGGCAATCATACCAAATCTCCTTTTTTTTATATAGCTATGGAATGTTGTCTGATAGACATCCATGCATTCCAAACGATTTGTTATTCTTAATTCCTTTATTTTCTTATTTGCATGGACTGATGACATACTTTACAGATTAAATATTTTGTAAACAATTGCGTCTTTGCCTTTCCTATTGAGTTTCTGTGTCCCCCTTTTGTAAAATCATAAGTTTTCTTGAACCTATTCTGTTGACCATTTTCACCCTCCCTCTTTTTCTTTTTTAGTAAAAATCATTATTTTCTTTTTGCCCATCTCCCCTTTGCCAATCTCCCCGTTTTTAAAAATATCATTAGTTTGCCTTAAACTCCTGCCGACCTTCTCTCCCCCTTTTCTTCTTAAAATCGCTTATATCAGTAAATTATGTTCGTACCACTTCTATGTTTATCCTACAAACACGAGAAATAAATACATTGACAACATGTAAACTTTAAAATATTTAATGTAAATAACAGTTTATAATCTGAATGTACACGTCCATGTCGTGTCAATATATCACACCATTTAAGGTTAACCTAAGGAGATTCTATAAAATCTGTTAAGAAACATTTATTTCTTACTCAGTTAACAAAGATTGCACATAATACATTTTTTCTTAAAAAAATGAAAAATCGTCAAAAATAAATTTACATAAACGCTCTAAGTAGTCAGACCTTAACTCAAGTCTTTAATCACAGTGGTGTCCTAGGTTATACATCGACTAGTTACAATTACAATTATTTTGACTAGTTAATTTTCATAATTTAAAATCTTTCTAATGATTTAAAAGAATCAGATCTTAAAATTTACAGCAGATAATATACATTACTATTTGCAAGCACCACTTGTATGACAAAATTGCACTAACCATTTTTCAATTTGCAAAAAGAGTATTTCTTTTAGTTCTTATACTGTTTCTGTATTATTTTTGGTAACTAAATATATGAAAACGGCAATGTTTCAACTCCCAACTGCATATATACAAAATAAACACATTTTGACAACTTTTGTAATACATAAACCCCACGACAGTATTGTCATACATGTAGTTTATATATGTACATTCTGTGTCCAAGTTTCTTCAGAATCGTTGTAGATGTAATTTACAATGATCTTGTATATATATACAGAGCTCCGCGCTTTTTTTACACATGTTTATATTGTATTCTCTGCACTTATAAACAGTGAATCCTTGATATTTTTATACACACAAACTCCTTGTCCAGTGTTCATCCAGTGTGTATGGTAACCGTTGGACAGACCAATAGATGATTCTGTAACATCGCCTGTAGTTCGTCCCGCTCTTTTCGCAGACGTCTGATCTCTGTCAGTTTCCTCGTATTGTCCGCCTCTAATTCATTTACTTGCTGTAAATAATAATTATAATTTCAGAAATATATTTACATATCAAAAATCATATGTAAAAAAAAAATACTGATACTTGTTCATTTGTTATTCTGTTTATATATTTTTTTTTTGGTAAGGTGTTGATGTTTTCATTGTGTTTTTGTATTTTGAGGTGTCAATAATTGTCATTATTTCGGTTGGGGTCGTTACTTTTATCAAGATGGAGGATGATGAAACTTACTTATAACTTATGGCACCGATTTCCCCTAATTTGCCACATTTTCGTTTAAACCGACGACAACTTATTCATACCGCACAATATGATGATCAGAATAAGACTCTTAAATTGTCTATAGAAGGCACATATAATTCTATGAAAAAACAGATTATTTTGTTATACATTATGTTTACCTTGGCATACACTGGTCCTTTCGCTCGGCGACGTTGACGGAATCGTCTTGCTGCTAGTTTATTCTGTTCTCGTCTTTTAATAATTTTCTCTTTTTCTTCTTCCGTCAGCTAAAACATTTAATAAGATGAATATAAGTCAAAACGAATATATTTAAGAAAATATTGATAAATTATATGCCGAGATTTGTCAGAAGATTAAAATATTAATTTCTTTCAATTAAATAGTTTTCAGCAATTTGCTTCCATTTTTTTATCTCACAGTATCTTAACAACCTAAATGATAGTTACAAATCTTTAAATATACTATATATAAATACAATAGATAAACATTAACTTACCTGTCCCTGTTCTGGTTCACTGAATTCCACCCCTAGTTCGCCTTGACCATTTGCCAATCTTCTTGATTGTATGGTATACTTTAATTCCTCTTTTACTAAAGGAGTAATTTCTCCCGTTTCCAAAGCAACTAAAGTAGCTTCCGTAAGGCCGTTAGTCTGCTTAGAAGGTTTTAACTCAGCATCATAAAATATGGTAGCCTCCATGAACTTATCGGCGTCTTCGGTCTCAATTTCTGACATAGGATAGTTTTCCAGTGGAGTTATCCACATACTCGGGTAGTCGTATTCTAGCATTATTTACTGTTCATATATTGACATTACTTGCAAAAGTCAATTTAAACTCTTGTGCTATCTTTTCTTTTTTCTTTTTTATTCATTATTTATCGAACTAACGATGCCATGCTTAATATTTACACGTCTTTATCGTTATGTGGTCGTAGTTCTTATGACTATGGGATACCCATTCAATCCTATTTATACAACCGCATGATTGACTATGACGATTAGTTACTACGTGTTGTGAAATGACATGTAAAGTTAATGGAAACACCTTGTACGTATTAATAGAAATACTGACGTGTGATAGATGTTAGGAGAATTTGTATTAAAGCATTTTTAAAGCAATGACACTTATATCAGTCGAAAATTTATTAATGTTGGTATTTTTAATATATGATATTGCACGAATTTATTCAAATGATATCTTTTTCCTGTCTAAAATGACTATTTCAGCCATAGACAGTACGACAACTACGTTTACGACAAATCTGTTCCGAATGATACCAAGTTGGGAGAATTTACACTTATCTATTGAATAGGACTATGTATATATAAATTAAAAAAACATTATTAATAGACCATAAGTATATTCTTACGAGCAGATGTGAACATGGCATACATTTAAATTACACAATGATTGAAATATGATTAATGAAAAGTAGTTCACAAAATATTTTATAATGTAATCGATCTTTGAAAATTTCAAGCAGAGTTGAGCTTTTAACACGCTCGTAGCATGTCATTTGGAAGATACCAAAGAAAGTAAAATATTAGTAACTAGTATAATCAAATATTAAGTTTGGAATTCGATGTAAATTTCACTGTGTTTTTTCATATAAAGTCGGAATTTTCAGTATAGACTTTTAACATTGGGACAAACCGTATAGAATATTAAGATGTTAATTTCTTTCTAATAAAAAATCGTAGGAATAAATATTCAAATACTTTTGTATTACAAAGTATAGACTTGAAAGTTTAGGACAGACGGAGCAATCTTTCCTTTCTATTTTTATGTTTTGATTTTCCTTGGTGGTGCGTTCTGACGGTGGTCCCTTCTTATGCAGGGTGTATTTCTCAATTAAACATATGGTTCGATATGCGCGGGTTTGCTGTGACATTTCATATATTAATCAGGGTAATATTTTCTTTACTTACAAAATCCTACAAAGGAGTACCGGTCAAACCTTTAATGAATTTTATCTAATTGTAAGATGTATAAAGGAATTATCACATTTTTATAGTAGTATAATTTATAAGCTAACAAGTTGAGGAATTGTCCTTCCAATCTGCCTTTTTTACTTTTAAATAGCTAAAAACTTATCGTTAGATGTTATGATTATATTGCAGTTGTTCATTCATTGCGTCTGGTCCTTTTTCGCTAATTTATGGTTTAACATTTTCATTATTTTTTTTCTATAAAAATGATGTACAAATATTTTTGGACCATAGAACAGGTCGCGTCTTCCTGTACTAACTATGCCATTTTTGAATGAGTTTAAATCACAGTACAACCGCCAATATCAGAGTTCAAGGCCTTCCAAGGTCAAGAATGTTGTCAGTGATTGTCTCATATATATATATATATATATATATATGGTCATCGTAGCGACTACCAATGCAAGCCAGACCTCCCTCTCAGTCGACATTTGAGATCCCCTGGCCACACTAAGGCAGATCTCAATCGACTGACCATTACAATCATTGACCACAACTCTGCTTGGTCTAGGGAGGATAGACTCACTCGGGAAAGATTTTGGATAAGAAAATTAACAACTTTGGCACCAAATGGGATAAATGAAAAGATGTAGTTCGACTCCATGCAGTGCTTCACATTTGGGTTGTATTACTTTTTATTACAGTCTCTGTTTCTATTTCTTTACCTTACTCATCTCTAAAATAAATCTGTTGAATATACCAATTTAAATTGCTTAATTTTTTGAGGGATGTAAAAGTACCAAGCCACGTTCAACTAGTTAACCTTAGTCAAAATTTATTATTATATTTTAACGGCCGTTTGTTTGCGATGTTTAAATACGCAGACTCTGTTGCAACTACTCTACCGTTGTCAAATTTGAAATATTTACAAATTTAGATCGTTCAGTGCTGTTTATTTGGAATTCTTATTGACGCAATCGTTCTTGTAACATCATAACTGTCGTCACCGTTAAAGCTTTAGAATTGTGCTAGTTCATATCGCACATTATTATTTTTATTTAAAGCATATATTTGAACTCTCTGTTGTAATTAGTCATATAACCTATGTCGTGTTTAACACATATTTAGAATTGTGCAAGCGTCTTACCTGATGTTCGGTTTGACATTTTTATTGTATAAATTTCAAGATTTGTATAGTTTAATCTAAGTAGACTGATATATGATTCATTCAACATCACAATCATATTTACTGATGAAGGATATCTGTTATCCGAAATATTTATAAATAATTACATTTATAGTTCCTTTTTTTGTTATTGGTGTTGTTGTGTACACTTTTTAGGCGTTTATATATATATATATATATATATATATATATAGGATATCGTACTATTTTGTTTTGTCTTCTGTTTTTTTTGTTTTTTTTTTCTTGTTTAATTTGTTGTTCTGATATTTTATAGACACAGTACTCTCAGATCTGTCCTTTTTTTTTTGTTATAGGGATGAGGGATGGATAAATACCCTGCCACGTTCGGTCTGTGTTAATGTTTGATGTTTTTCTGCTTTGTATCGATCTGATGAGTTAAGCCTTTTTCAACTGATTTTTATAGTTTGTTCTTTTGTTGTGCTGGTACACCTCTGTTCCAGCTTAGGGGAGGGTTGAGCGCTCACAAACATGTCGGGGCCTTTTATAACCGACTATATGGTATGGGTTTTCTCATTGTTGAAAGCCGTACGGTTGCCTATATACGAATCAAATTTGTTTATTATAGTGACATTGTGTTTATATACATTATAATAATAATATATGTCAATACAGTGTTTGTACACCCGGCCCATTGGACATATAACTAAAGTCACTTAAAAATATAAATCTATAAATCATTTCAAAGTAGAATCCTGTAGTTCAAATATTTACATAAATGAATTGTCTGCGTTTTGTAAATGCTTGTAAAATATATTTAGCTGTTCTTCTTGGAAAATAAGTAAGTAGTTGTATTAATTGTTCACAATGTGGTAGTGATAAAAATGTTTCTTTGCCCGGTATGGTAAAGTAAAGTTGCTTACATTCACTTTCTTTAGAGCTGAATAACAATGATGAGAATTGGGTTGACAGAATAGATAATATTAGGCAAATAAATAAAAAAGAAAAAGAGTTAAAGGAATACCCAGCCCTCTAATCCACACTGACTCTGTATTCACAATAAAAGACCACTAGTAACAGCTGAAGGACACATGAGTTGTCTCCCATATATATTAATATTTCACTTGAAATGAAATGAATTACTTCCCTTCTACTAAATATTATTTTACTGGTTACAATATTTAATCGAATTGTTGGTAAACATGTAAGAAAATATCAAGGGACAATCAGATTCGAAGAAGCAGAGATAACATAATGGCCAAAAGCAAAAAAAAAAAAAACAAAACGATTAAAAAGAGTTGGCAATAATAACGCCAACAAAACTATAATAAACAAAAACCCGAAGACTGTGCAAAAAGAAAAGCACCCAATACATTTAGAAATTCAACAAAAATCATGATTAAAAAACCATGCTGAGGAAGGTTAAAAAGAGAAGTGAAGAATGGACAGTCAGGACAAAGGAATAGCCTTCATAATCACAGAATAGTTAGATCAATGGTACAAAAAAAAATTATAGATACAACATGAAATACGTTCACAAATAGGAAATATCCAGCTAGTATGGTTAAACAATAGTTGAGAAAATCATGGCCATGAAACAAATGTTGATATACAACCCTTCGAAGTCTTTTCTAATCTATTGCCATAAATCTCCGATGATAAAATGACTTCAAAGATAAAAGTAAAAAAAAAAAAAACACAATGAATGATATTTATGAATTTGCAGAAAATAATTATTTACATTTTTATCGCGAAATCTATATTTAAAAATGAAAATTAAAAAGCAGTATTGTTTGTTTGTCTTGTGAGTTTTGAAAGAAAAGGGATAGTTATGCTAAGCAGCCTCTTTTTTACAAATGCCACTTCCTATTGCTAATGAAATGAAAACCCATTGACAAGCCACCAAAAAAAAATGGAAACACGTTTTAAAGTGCATGCGTCCGAAGAGCTTTTCTGGATTTAAATTCATCAGGAACGCTCAAAGCCGAATATTTGAAAGCCAATGATGTATAAGAACCGAAACAGTTGAAGAGCTATATTACAAAAAAGGACCACAAGTTGTGTTCAATGAATATCTTTAGTCAGTGAAAACAAAGGACCTTCGTTTAAAATATGACTGCCAATTGTAGATATTACATGTTTACATTTAAAACAGGTGGGGTCCTAATGAAACGTCAAATGAAAAATCGAATTTTCCCATATTATAACAATTATACGGTCCACACAGTTTGTTCAACACTGGTGATCAATCTTAGGGAACATGCTTAAACCAAGAAATAATAAAAGTATATATAGTCCTAAAGTTTTACATATAAATGAATGAATTTAAAAACACGGAGTAACTTGATCACCTGGATCTTGATTTATAGTTTAATGGTAAATTAAAATACATTTGTATTCAATCAAAATCTTCTTATTTCCGAATCCTTTTATTCAACTTTATCTTTGTGTGATTATGTATTTGTAATTATGACGAATAAGTTTTTTTTTTTATTTGGCTGTTGTCTCTTTGATAAGATTCCCCACTTCCATTCTCAATTCTATTTTGGAAATTTTTTTAAGGAGATTTGTTGACATATTTGGGTAAATTGTTCAATACCCGGAAAAGTATTTTAATCTAACGATCACTAGTATTTTCAAGTCTATCTACAGTGCTAATGGAATCAACCCAATTCACTTTATTTTATTATCACATGTTCAAAAACATTGATAGGACGATATAACAATGAAGAAATGAAAAACAAATGACTATATATATAAACTTTAATAAACTGTTCCCCAAAAAAAGAAACCTATAAAAATAAGTAGATGTGATATGATTTCCTATGAGACAACTATCCATGTACCAGAAGGGAAATGGCGTGGATTTTAGCCACGC